CCAGGGTGGGGGGGTGGGTCTTAGGGCAAAGGGGTAATATTTGAGAGAAGCAGCCAGAAGGTTCTGTTGGTGGGAATATTAATAACAATAAAAATACCCAAATATTCTGAGGGGTTATCTCATTTTTAAGCTATTTGGACTAATGTTGGTGTTATTTTTGAGCAAGTTCAACTGTAAGAATATATACCTTTGGTTTTCTAAGTCAAGCTAAGACCTATAATCTTCATGCTATTAAGGGAAGAATCAGCATAGGTAACCACTGAAATTTGCAAAGGTTTTTAACGCATCCTGTCTCACTCGTTCAAGCATATCTGTTTTGGGGGTGAGTCTTTTATTTCAAAATCTCTCCTGGGCTCTGTTTTCAGCTCCAAGTGTTGCTTTACTGAACAGATGATAACAGTTTGGGGCTTTAGAAAGAAAGAAATATGAAAAGAATGTGCTCTGTCCCTTTGTTTCTCAAGCCTTTATCTTTAATCAAGACCATTATAAGCGTCTCCCCAACTCATCCACTTTTGCCTTTTGTGTCTTTCCTCATACCAGAACCCAGTTTCAAAGGAGCATCTGGGAATTCTGGCTACCCACAGCAGACTAAACACATGTGTTTGCTGTTGTGCTTTTGTGCCATTCCAAAATGAAAATGACTGTGTAAGAGACCTAAATCTTCAAACACAAAGAGAATGAGAGGGTAGATAACAGTGGATGGGAGATGTCAGCAAGCCTCTGGACTTTGGAAAGCTGATGGGAGCATAGTCATTGATTTAGCAAATGAGAGAGGACTGTGAGCAGGCCGAGAGGAAACTGCTTCAGCCCTTCTAATGCTCAGAAAGAACCCTTAAAGATGATGGGTACCCCTGAAAGTACCCATGGCAGGACTGCAGACTGGAGTATACACTGGAAGTCTGAGAGATGGTCTGTTAGACCTGAAGATCTCCCCCAGGAAACTCTGAAGAGTGATTTACAGCTGGAAGCAGAGAGCCAGATGGCACTGGTGAAAGGCAATACAGAAAATGAAGCAATTAAATAGAGTGTACCAAGTGAAAGATAAGACTGCCAACCCCCTCCCCCTGCCAGATTACTCACAGCTGTATTTTTTTACTTTCTAGAAAGAGACAGAAGTCCAAGGCAGTCAGTGGTTCTCAGTCCAGGAAAATATGTCCACACCAAGGAATAGTTGTTATTGGTGTCTAACAGATAAAAAAAGTGATGAGGCTAAGAATTCTACAAATGCTTGGGCCAGTCCCACACAACCGAGAACTGCCTTTCATATAATGCTGGCAGCACCAAGGTGAAGAGTTCCTGTGCTAACCTGCTGGAGTGGCGCTTACCTCCAATCCCACTGATTTGGAGGCAGAGGAAGGAGGATCACACATTTGCAGCTGCTGGGAGTTGTTGGTGCCATGTGAAGCTGACCTTGCTTCATGCCCTCTTCATACGCTAAAACCTCTCCTTGAGTTTCCTGTCATCTGCTCATGCCTTACTCTTTAAAAAGGAACAGTCTCCCTCAACAAAATATCTCACCCCAAAATTTGCTCCCAAACCTGTCCCTCCTTCGATAAAACCAATCTCACTGCATATTAAATTGTATCCAGTCTTGACATGTAAACACATTGTGACCTGGCCTAATAATACAAGTGAGTCTCAAACAATCACAGCATTCATGCCCCAGCCAAACACAGCTGTTGACTGGTTAAATTGCATTCTCATTAAAACCAACACTGTCTACAGCCAAGGCAGTTTCTGTATGTCAATCCCTTCTCTTTGTGCATGTGGTGAGTGGACATTCTGAATAATCTTTAGTCTGCAATGCTACCTTCTACCTAAAAGGTTTTTTTTGCCAAAGTAAACCTCAGTCTCATGGTATCCCCCCTCCCTTCTTTTATATTCTTAAAATTAAAGTGTTTGACAAAATAAGTTGGGTTTCAAAAATAGGACACAGATCCAGAGTAGAAATCTCAAAATCTGGCCAACATTGCAAAAGAATAGCTTGGTGCTGAGTTCCATGTAAATGGTATAGAATCCCCTCACAATCTCCTTTTCAGGGCAGTATTGTTTCTGGACACAGGTAGATAGAACAAGGCAAGATTCCATCTCTGATTGGAAGAAGCTGTAAAAGATAAGAACTACTTTCTCTCAATCCTTTCCCCAATGTTGCTATACAATTTCTTTAATGGATACTGTTTTCTGCCTTTGATAAATGTTTGACAGTGTCATGCCTTCATGTTAAGACAATATGAAGTCTCAACTTGTATACTGAATGTGTCTGACAACGTATCAATCAAAAGTGCTATGTTTATTTGTAGAAAGATATATTCTCCCCTTCTGTTACAACCCCCATGAAGAAAACACTATTTCTCCCATCTTTGTTAACTATGTTTCATCCCCCCAGGTTTGGAGTGTGGGAGAGGCAGCATGCTCTCTGGGTGTGATGGATGTTTCTGGCAAGTTTCTCTTCTCAGTGAGGATTTACTTGTGCAGTGGTAAATGAAACCAGTTCTAATTACCATGATTCCTGTGGTACCTAATGCTCTGGTGGTTCATCCAAGAGGATATGTGACCCATCCTATGTTCTGAAAGGATACAACAAAACTGGCCCAGTACACTCCATTTTGGCTCTTCTTTCTCATTTGTCAACATGGTTGTCCTCTGGCCATGGAAAGATCTTACGTATCCTTTTCTTGACAAACTTTGAGCTCACAGAAGTATCTTGGTGCAGTCATCTCTGTTCTGCACAGGACACTCCAGTGTCTGTAGCCTTGACTCAAGCACCCAGCCTTCCTCTCTCTGACCGCCCCCCTTTTTTTACTAAGCTGGGCTGGAAGCCAGTTGTCACTTCTCCCTCCTTAAAGAAAGAACTTGTTGCCCTTGACCCTTATGTTGGAAGATGGAGTAAGTTCAAAACTGTGAACTTGGGGGACTGAAGAGATGGAATCAGAAGTAAAGAGCACTTGCTGCTCTTGCAGAGAACCTGGATTTAGTTCTCAGCTTCCACATCAAGTAGTTCACAACCACCTGTGACTCCAGCTCATAGGGATCCAACACCCTCCCCCCTTTGGGCTTTGTGGGCACCTACATGCATTTATACACATACATATATACAAGCGCACACACATACATCCATAAAATAAAAGCAATCAATATTTTTCTTTTTTGTTTAGTGTTCACTCAATTCTCAAATATTTTCTCAGCAAGTTTTCTGTATGAAGTTTATTCCATTTTCATTTCAGGATCTGATACCTATTGTTATGAGGCTTCACTTAATTAAGGCAAGTTGTTTCCTATTCTTTATTTTTTGATAATCCTTTTTATTTTTTATGTGCATTGGTGTTTTTCTTACATGTGTGTCTGTGTGAGGATGTCAAATCACCTGGAACTGGAGTTACAGACAGTTGTGAGCTGCCATGTGGGTGTTGTGACTTGAACCAGAGTCCTCTGGAAGAGCAGTCAGTGTTCTTACCCTCTGAACTGATGGGGGATGTACTTCTGTATGCTGTGAATATATGTTTCTCTTATTGGTTGATGAATAAAGCTGTTTCAGCCTATAGACAAGCAGAATCTACCCTGGCAAGAAATATAAGCTGGAGAATGCTGGGAAGAAAAACTCAGGGAATAGCAAGAGAGAGATGCCATGTAGCTGCCAAGACAGCAAGAGGCTTGGGCATCACCAGTAAGACCATATAGAGATACACAGATTAATAGAAGTGGGTTAATAATTAAGAGAGAGCTAGCCAATAAGAAGCCTGAGCCAAGAAGCTTATAATTAATATAAGCCTCTGTGTGTTTATTTGGGACTAAATGGCCGTGGGGCTGGGCAGTACAGAAACTTCCATATGCACTGAGCTGCTTCTCCAGGCCCCTATACTAAATACCTTATTCAAATATACAGATGACAGAAAAGTGGGAATCTTAAATAAGGAAATGAATAATAAGCTAACCAAGAAAAAGTAAATGACATGGCTTCTTCCATGTCTGATATATCCACTCATCATTTTCCTTGACCAAAGATTGAATTATTTGCTTATTAAAATTGAATCCTCACTAGGGAAGAAAAAAACCTAGGCTTAGATGCATTGCGAACCTAGACCTCAAATAGGAAAGGTGTATTCATCAAAACATTGCCTCTTATTTCACTAGGGAAGAAAAAAACCTAGGCTTAGATGCATTGCGAACTGGGTCAGGTGAGCCAATCTGTGACCCCACCTAGACCTCAAATAGGAAAGGTGTATTCATCAAAACATTGCCTCTTATGCATGTTTTACCCTACTGTGATGAAAGATGGAGCAAGACAGAGGCTGTAAAAACGAAAAGCAGTCCCATAAGTTTTCTTTTCAACACTTCAAATGTTCTCCTTTCTCTACATTTCCATCATCTGGAAAAGCATCTGTAGACTGTCTAGCTCCTATAAAAGAGCCTTCCCCATTTTCCTTTGGGAAGTTTTGGAACATTGCTTTGTGGAAACACAATACAGACTGGGCACAGCAGCATCAAGGACTTTGGACATGTGCCATCTCCTGGCCTTTTAGAAGGGCACATATCCTTGCCATGATCCCGGACCCTCACTTCTCCTACAATGTATTTTCTGTAAAATTTAAATGGTTGTCAAATAACTTCTTAGTCCTAATATGTTACAGTTCTGGCCATATTAAAGATGCCACATAAAGGAAGCGGAAAAGGGGTGCACAGAATGTTCCTGGGTCAACTTTTTTATTCACACCTTCACAGCACCACTCTGCATGCAATTACATAGCCAAGGCCCACCTAGATAGTGCCTCAGAGGGGCGTTAACACCAACACAGTGCTTCTTAATTTCCAGAGAATTTTAGCTTGTTTTGTGTATATCTAAGCCTGATGAATCCAATATATATCTTTGGCTACTGGATGTCTTATGTTGGAGTACCAAACTAGCCAAGGAAGTAGAGAAAATGACATCAACATGAATAAACATGCATGTTCAACTAGTCTTCCATTTGTTATTCTTGTGGAATAACTCAGATCCTTAAGCATCTGATATATACAATCCACAATTGTGGGGCATAGCAATTCTCAGGTGCTACATTATCTACATAGAGCACATTTATGGGTTTTTTTGATTCAATAGAAGTACATTACATATTGCCAGGAAAAAAATTACAGCACCAAAATAGAATATAAAACCTACAGAGGCCAGGAAATTGTGCTTCCTAGCTCCTAACTAGGACCTTATATGTGCACAAAATATTGCAATTTTTGTAATGATGTGGTGTGCTGTACTTTGCCCTTTTTAGTAAAAAGGATTGAAATATTGTGATTACCCAAAAGGCATTGTTAGAAGACAGAGAAAATAACATTGGAAAGAAAATCATTCCTTTGGTTAATGATGAAATAAAACATATAAAATATTTCTGTGAATAATAATTCTTCCCATAAGGAGCCTGAAATGCACTAGAAATTAAATGTTCTCAGAAGGTGATGTGGGTATTGTTGATATTACACTCATGTTACAGGTGCTATGGTACCCATCAGACACGGAGGCAGTTGTCATGGTGATGATTTAACATTCTTTGAGACAATTAAAACTGATGAAATGGAAGGCCTTATCAGATAGTTTTGAGATCATCCCTAATACAAGAATAGAGAAACCTTGAGGACACCACTCTTATTTGTCTATGTATCTAAGGCCCATTTGAAGACTGAATTTAGGACAAGAGACTATACTGAACAACAGGCATTGCACTAATTGAATAAGAGAATTACCTGCTCCTTTGTAAATTGGACAAAATTTTCTTTCTTTCCTCAGATATTATTATATGATTGCTTCCTGAACCAAAAGGAGAAAAATGGAAGAGTTGAAATATCCAATTAAGAGAGTGTTCAATGGGGTCCTTTTTCTCCTGCTGGCTCAGACTTGGCAATGAATTGTCAAGGACAAACACAGCATCAGGGGAGATAGGTACCAAATCTCTCCTGTCACTTGCTTGCCATGGGCTGAGTGCCAGGAGGCTTTTCCTTCTTGATGATGTTCAGGTTTCTTGCCACTCTTCAACTCCTCTCCTTGGAGGCTGTGACTAAGGTACTTCCCATCATACCTATGCCTGTTGGCCTGATTTGGTTAGCCTGTGGCTTCTTAATAACTAATTTTGAGTTATTAGTTATCCAATATGTACAAAACAACAAAAATAGATTCAACATCAATAGTTACAATTTTGAGTTTTTCTCCCTCCCTCCCTCCCTCTTGCTCTTCTTTCCACCTTTCCTTCTTTCCTTCCTTCCTTCCTTCCTTCCTTCCTTCCTTCCTTCCTTCCTTCCTTCCTTTCTTCTTTCTTCCTTTCTTCTTTCTTTCCTGACAAGCATGGCACTAACTACAGCACTATCTGACCTGGTAAAAGCCTAACAAGCCTATGGAGTGAAGGCGGGTTCAGATGCTGAATCTAAAGTTTAACACTTAAGCTCATATCTCTTATATTCTAGATTCTCACACCACAAGAAATGTTATCTGCCTTTCCAGAGCATGTAAAATATGAATTCTTCCATTTTTATTTAATTTCCTAGATCCTCCAGTCCCCACTCAGGGAACTTGGAGAAGGCTGTGGTTCTCAACCTTCCTAAAGCTATGACCCTTTAATACAGTTCTTCATGTTGTGGTGCTACTTTTTGCTACTACTTCATAACTTTATTTTGCTGCTGTTGAGTCGTAAATATTTTTGGATGCAGAGGTTTCTTTAAGGGCTTGTGACCCACAGGTTGAGAACCACTGCAGTAGGGTGAAAATTATAGCAGAGGCACTGAAGTAGAAGCCAAGTCTTAGCATAAAGGATCAAGTAAGAGTACTCATTTGCTAGTTATTAACGTTGTAAAGTTATTCTAAGTCTCTGAGTTTTATCATTAAAACATGAATAATAACTGAATGTGTTTTGTGAGGATTAAGGACTATCACACAAAGAATAATAATAAAAACTTGGGGCTGGATGGATGGCTCAGAGATTAAGAACACTGTAGACTCTTCCAGAAGACCTGGGTTCTTTTCCAGCACATACTTGCTAACTCACAACAGTCTATAATTCTGGTTACATGGAATCTCAGGCCTTCTGTTCTCTACAGGCACCAGCCACACAAATGGTACACAGCCATACACACAGGCAATACATCCATGCAAATAAATTTTAACTTTTAAAAGTTAAAAAGTGCAAGCTCATTGTTTCAGTAAATGTCTGCTATTCTAATACTAATGTTATTTCTCACATGAAAAGTAGGTAGGTGCCTAACCTGCTTGCCCAAGTAGTTGAGACCTATTTACCAGTAGTTATGTGAAAACGTCATTTGAAAATTTTGATTTCCTTCTATATCAAGGACATCTTTGTGTTAAGGAAACTTTGGAAGTCCCTTGTTTCAGAGTCTAAACTAGTTATCTAGAAGCTACCTGTGAGCCTCCCAGTTTATTTCACCTGTAACCTCTATGAGGTCCAATGGGGCATTATCAAAATTGGGTCTTAGAATTTTGCCAAAGTGGATGAGTCTCCATAGGTTAGCTCAAAAATCAGGTTTTTTCCCAGGACACTTCCCACATATGACACACAATAATAAACTTGGAATGGTTTGTGAACTTGCCAGATCAAGGAAATTAAGTTATATTGACTAGGGCCTCTTGAACCTCCCAGGGATTCAGTAGACTCAAAAATCCTGAGGTTATCTTCTTTTCCTTAGAAGAGATATTTTAATCCTCTGGGAACTGTGTTGCATTCCCTCCAGTTTCTCAAGTACCAGGATTAACACAGACCTGAAGTAAAGAAACCCAACTGAACAAAGGAAATCCAAACAAAACTGTGTTTGATCAGAGACCAAATGTAGAATGGAGAATGGGAGAAACCTATTGGTAATACATCATAGGTAATTTCACCTTTAGAAGCTTTATTTTCAAGTACCCTTTGGCTGCATACATTTATGTTGAAAGATGAAAAATATGTGTCTGAACTGGTAACTCAACAACTGACTTCTTTCAGGTCTTCATTCTGTAATAACTGTCTTCAACATGAAAGATGTTAAGTGCTTTCAGGCCAAAATCAATATATTTATATAGAACATTGACTTAGATGATTAAATTAAATAAGCATTGTCTCACTACCTATTGTAACCAAAGCTTTAAAAAAACCTAACTTTCTGACATAA